AGCTGGTAATCTCACGAATAAAACAATAACACGTAAAATATATATATATGTTTTTTTTAAATATTTTGCGTTTTTGTATAAGTTATCAGTAAATCGGTAATCAACTTTGGCGAACCTTATCATTAACATCATTTACGCCGCTAATGATTTAATAAATGCCTAATCAAGCGTGATTTTCAGTGACACACGCAGGTACATATATACGTGCACACACACACATACACACGGAGTACGACACACGCAGCTGTGATGCTAGTGCAGAACTATACACACACACACACACACACACACACACACACACACACACACACTCACACACACATATGTTTCACACAAAAACACTCGTAATATAAAATCAATTAAACGCGTAACGTACCCCACCGTGAGATCGAAATGATAGCGCTTGCCTCAGGACGCTCTTCGCTTACCGCTGGATGCTACTAGAAAAAAACACCAATGGACGACGAACGGTGGTTAGGTACCATCGCTGTCTGCCCATTAGTCGCTGGAATGCAGCAGATTTAGATACGCAATTATTAGCCAGGCCAGACCTGATCGATGTTATCGTGTTCTGGTATTAGTTGTGAGAAGCGCATTTTGGCGTTTTTAAAGATTTTATGAGTCTTGTGTTCTCCGTCTTAAAGATTGTCGTGTTTTTTTAGTATAACTAGTCTTTTAAAATAAAAAACGTATATATGTGGAGTTTTTATCGTTCGACGCCAAAAAATAAGGCGCCTTGGGGGCCCCCAACGCGTGCACACGCGCACGTACACGCAGACGCACGTGTAGTCACACACACAAACAGACACGCACGCACACACGCGCGCACACACACACGTGTGAGCACATGGTTTCTAACGTATTAATAATGTGAGGCCACGTTTATCTGGCAGGACGAAAAACAACAGCGGTCACGTCGACTAAACATGCACCAATTTCATATCAATTACATATCGATTACATATCGATTACCTATCGATTACATATGAAATATGTGACTTGATCTTAATTGAGTAACGTTCAGCGTTCGGAGTGTATGCGCGTACCTACTACACGCGCATGCGTGCTGTACACGCACGCGCGCCGCATGCGTGTATGCGTGTACACGCACGCGGGCAATCTGTACATAAACAGGCCGGCGGTACATGCAAGCGTACTGTATACAGACAAGCCTGTTATACACGCTCGCGCTTATGCTGTACACGCACGCGCGCACGCTGTACATAAACGAGCCTGCTATACACGCGCGCACGCTGTACATGCGCGCGCGCACGCTGTACATGCACCCGCGCACGCTGTACATAAACGAGCGTGCTATACACGGGCGCGCACGCTGTACATGCACGCGCGCGCCGGCTATACACGCACGCGCGCACGTTGTACATAAACGTGCCTTCTATACACGCGCTACATAAAAACATATATAGGCGAAAGTATATAAATTTAGAATATGAATGAGGTGTCCATTTTTAATCATGCAAGCTTTCGAAATCATATGTCTCTTTGTTAGTCTTCACAAAAACAGAATGGAAACAGTTAAATGATGATTTGTTAATTCAATGTTATATTATTGTATTTACTCTATGTATTGTGTAGTGGTTTTGGTAACATGAAGTATATATTGTGCGTATATTTTGATTTATTAATTAATTTATTTATTAATTTAT